ACAACATTTGTTTCGTGATGTACATCGCCAAAAGCAGCAACAGAAGTTCATAAAGACCTTGAACCAGGACTGTGCTATCTGAGGCTTTCCAGGCCTCCAATTACCTACTCTAAATAGGAACAAAAAACCCTTTTCTCTCAATCTCATCCTTAAACATTTGTGCATTCATCCAAGGTCTGTCCTACTTGCTTTTTACAACTGCTACAGATTTACAAATCTGCTTGATAAGATACTAAACTCAGTTCAAGGGTGTACACGCAAACTTGCTTGTGTTCTGAGAAGGAAAAGGGTGATGTTCTCATCAGAACAGAAAATAATTGAAAGGTAGCTGATGAATGTGAGAAGCAATTTACAATTGTTTAGTCTTTGCACTGCACAGTTCCTCCAGCATCAAGTTTTTTAATTGTCCTCTTTTTTCGAGGCCTTACAAACAGGACACCTAAATGCATCACCTCAAAAGCTCTGAACTGAGAAGGCAAATGAAGGGGCTAGATCATTCCATAGATGCTCAACTCTGCCACCTCCTATCTCTCTGGAATAGGAACATATCACAAGCATCCAACAACTTTCACTCTTATGCCACTCCACAAATATAACTTCCTTTCCGAAGGAAACAAAGGGCTAAACTGAAAGGAAAGGGGAAGCAACACCATATTTCCTTAAATTTCCATTCAAGTTCAGGTCCTGCCTGCATGCCATACAGGCTGCACAGAATCTACAGCCTGAATGGAGTGATTGATCTAGCTCTGCTAGAACAAAAGCTTTGTTTCTCATCTACTCTGCTTTGCTGTCAAAGATGTGGAAAGCATTCACAATGGCAAACTTAGAAAGCAGAATGGCATACTTATTGAAGTGAACAGAGCAAAATGTCTATGGTCTAGATTTGTTCACAGTCCAGCAATGTATAGAAAGTCTGTGAAAAATAGGAGGAAAAAAAAGAAAACCATGTTGTGTTACTTTAACAAGTACAAAACAATCATTTAAGATTTCCAGACTTCTATTTACTCTGCAGAACAATGAATATGTATTACAATCTCAGTTTCAAATGCAGCCAGACCTCATTTTTATTTTGAACAAACAACTACAGAAAAAATAGTTCAAGATGTTTCTGTTGTTATATTCCCCTTTTAAAGCATCTAGAAGTTAGGGGAAATAAATTAAATGGAGATAAAATTAAATTAATATAGTAACATTTTAATATTATCCGTCTTTTGTCAAAAGTATTACAGTAGCAGGTTTAACAAACCAGCACATGTATCAGTTATTTTTTGTCTTGCATTGGCAGACAAAATCCTGTAACAAGGAATAAAATAAACAAATTATTGAATTCTCACAAGGAAACTATACATAGCATTCACACTGAAAAAAAGAGCTCATCCAATAAGTCCTTAATGGTTAGGAATAAAATCATAAATGAAGTAAGAAAAACCAAGAAAAGAGCAAAGCATTCATTCCATAGGACAAATCGTAATTAGGTAACTGAATCTAATGAAATCTGTGGAACGGATTTACAGAAAAAAAAAATATGCAGAACTATTGAGAGATAACACTGGGCAAGAATAGTTTATTTATCCTAATGATTTTCAAGCATAAATGTTAACAGCAGATCATGTGTAAAAATACACAATAATAAATAGCTTATATAGTAATGCACCTTACTGGATCTTCCTAGTGAAGAGGCATAGCAGAAACTCTTTAAGAACACACTCTTCTCACATTCCTCTGTGGAGATATTCAGCACCAATTACATGACATTTCTGAAGCCCTCACACCTTTTCTACAGACTTTACTGGGTTTTTTTTCTCCAATGGTTATAGAAAATGATTACAGTTGTTTAGAAAGGTATGAGCTAGACAGCCTAAGGAATTACTGCTATTAACAGCGGGAAAGAATGTGCAAGCATATGCCTATGTGGATAATTATTAAATAATTTACTGAAGGAAACAGATATTAAATAAACACAGCACTTTTTGGGATCAGTCTTTGTTTGCAAATCAAAACCGTAATTAACAGCACAGATTATCAAGATTGTGCTCCCTCTGCTGGTTAATTCACCCTATAGCAATAAAAATAATGTGTAAAAAAAGCCCAGATTGTTGTGTTGCAACTCAACAGCCCAAAAAATCTGAAATCAAATTATATCATTAAAGAAAACCCTTACACACAGCCAATATCTTACACATCACTTCAAATATCACCTTAGCTCGTTAGAACTGAAGTAAAAGCATCTTGCAGTTCAAAAAGATGTTTCCTATCATTCCACCTTGTTTTGGGTGCCTAGTTCATAGAAATTCCATCTCCCTCAGATTTAGAAACGCAATTAAACATTTCAAATTCTGAATCATTGTAAGAAGATGCTGTTAATTGGATTTTTAATTGAAAGCTCCTTTTTTCTCTGCCTCATACAAAATGCCATCAGCAATTGAGCTGCAAAGCAGCCTAGATCAGAGGAAGACTTGGGCTGGAACACAGGGTTTGGCAGCCCACCTGATCCAACCCCATGCTCGTGGCAGAGCTAACTCCACGCTTCAGTCAGGATGCTCAGGGATGCTCAGTCCTGCTGTCTCCTGAGTATCCCCAAGGCTGGCAACTCTGCAACCTCTCCAGGTAACTCATTCCTGTACTTAATCACCCCCATGGTGAAAAACTTCTCATGGCATATGCAAAATATTTCTTAGATCCAAATCAAGCACAATTCAAAGCCTCAGTATAATCAAATGGCACATTTGTAACAAAACCCCGTAAAAAACAGTTTACCAAAAATCACATGATCTGATCACAATTACTACTAGTCACAAGCAGCATATTTCCTGGGCAATGCAAATGTCACTGGCAGCTTGAATCACCTGAAAGAACCAAAGACCATCTTACTTTTGAATTTTGATGGTATAATACCTATGGGACTCTGCATTTCATCTGAAGCTGACAAAATACACTCTGTAAGTATTTATACAGCATATAGCAGATCCCCTGACTTTTTATTTCATGAAGCACAAATAACGTTCATGTATCCACAGGTTTTCTGATTACCTCTCCTAGAGAAATAAATTAAATACAAATTTTAAATGTCAGCTTCTGACAAGGAACTATTTAAATGATCTTTAAGTGGCATGAGTTGTAGTAAACATTACCATATTAGTACAATTACCTTTAGTTAGCAAAAATGGAAAAAATGGCCAATTTTATTTATTTTGCTCAGTATGGAGCTTTAGTTTTGTAGATGAGCAAGATAAACACCTATTGTTATATACAGATTAGAAATGTAAACACTTTCCACAATGACTGACTTCAGAACTGATGCCGAGTATTAGCAAAAAAAAAAAAAAGCAAAGAGCCAGTGTGACAAAGAGCGCTACTGCCCCCTAATGAGCCAGGCCACAAAAGCTCCTCTAACAGCATTTGGTGTCTTTCCTGAAAAAACTGAAGTTACTATATTAATGAATTATTTTTAAAAAAAGAAATTAAAATATTTCATGAGAAATGAAGACAATCATTAAGAACACATACACTAAATTCATTCCAAATTTCTGTGCAAGAGTCACACACAAAAGTCTGGGGAGAAAAAAAAAAGAAGTATCTAGAATCTAGGATTTTCAGGTAACAGTGCACAAAGAGATGATGAAGATGCAAAATACAACACAGAAATTACGCTCCAACACTTCTGCCAGTATATAAGCAGATATTAGCCAATCTTAAACCTATTCTGTACTAGGATGGAATCATTCAGACAAAAAACTCTGTAGTTATCTTCACACCAACCCAGATTTTTAAATTTAATGTCTGCAGTGTGAGAGCATCAGTATGCTTTTCTTGTTTCACTGTTCTATCTAAATGTCCATTACAAGTCTATTCTAGGCTTGTAATTATTGCAAAATAATTCTGATCTTATCTAACTATATCCACAAAGAGAAATACAGAGGAAACAATCAAAAAAATCCACTTTCTGAATTCTGTTTGTAGAGGAAAGAGGTGAACTTTCTCTGCAATGTGAAAGTTCCATTTTTTCCTCATTTCTTTAAAAATTGTTTTGCCACAGAATTGAATCTGTATGCAGTGCTGCCCAATGCAGCTCGGACATAAAATATTGTCTGTTTCCTGCATTTGCATTTCGAAAACAACAAATTGCAGTGAACTGCTGCAAAAATGCAACTGCTGCAGGTCCTGGTGAGAAGCACAAACATAAGCTGTGTATTCTCTTTTATTGTATCATAAATCAGAAATTCCATTCCCATTAGTAAAATTACTGTGATTTACATGCAATGCTAAAGCACAACTAAGTTCTGTTTTTTCCCCTCAAATCTTTTATACTGACTTTTTCATGGATAAGCATTCTGACAGACACCACAGAAGACTCCAATTTCCATTAGAAAAATAAGGTTAAAAGCAATTCATACGTTTAATTTAAATCAATTTTTAAAATGCTAGCTAACAAAAGATATAGATTTTATTAATAAAAAATTATCTTCACTAGTCGATTTTGGCACTGAAACGCAACCAGTCAATAAGTCCTTGAACTTTACCTTAAAACCTCCAGATACCAGCTTTCTGTGGCCTCACATACTATGTAATCATTCATATAAATACATCATTAGCACAAAAAGGTTGCAAGTGATGAGTAGTATCTTACATAACTATACACACGGTAGAAGGCTGCAGGCTAGTAGGCATTAAAAGTAGAAGAAGTACTAATCATATGCTATGTGATACAAGTAAATTATCTACAAAGATATTTTAGAGACCTAAAGTAACCATATTCCATTACATTCTCTATTACATTACAGACTAAAGAGCTGGTATCACAGCCCTCAGTCTACCTAACATGTATGCTATTACATCAGTACTTCACAACGCCAAGCACTCACTATTAATTTTATGAAATATAAAAATGAAAACACTGGCAAGGCTAACGACAAGCAAGAGTTCCTACTGATGCCTCCAAACTATGACCATACGGCCATCAACATAACTCAATCAAACTCTGCCAGACATGTACTTCTTACCTTCGAATCTTCATTGCTCACGCCCAGCTCTAGCACAGCTCGAGGAGACTTCAGCTTCGCTTGCATGGACTCCGCCATTTGAAGATTAAGCTGCCATCCAACTGTTTCAAGCTATAAAACATAAATTTAGATTACAATCAGATGGTACAGAAGCACTCAGGTCAACTTTCAGTATTATGAACAGTCTGTGTCAGTGAACATGGTCAGGCTCTAGAAATGTTAAGCACTTTTATACAACGCACATTCTGCAAATTCTCCTGGACTCTAAGACAGATTTGCTTCTCTCTCTTGCCAAATTCATCAGTTCAAACTGCCTGTGACCACCTGAAATAAAGGTATTTCATATGCCTCAGATCTCCTGGAACCAATCCATAAAACAGAAATAAGGATGCAAAATAAGGTAGTTTGCCCTTTGTTGTGGAAGTTTATCAGCAAAGTTGCAGATTCAATTTTATTTCATATTTATTCTTCTTTTAGGAAAAAGAAAAAAAATAACAATAAATGGTAAACCAGCTAAGAATGGTAATTTCTTAATCAACAGATCTACTTACGTGTGTTCTGCTATATACAGATGTTAATGACAAAAATAATTCTGTGCTGCTTTTTAAATTGTTGCTACTGAAAAGCCAAAAACCAGTTAAGCATGTGAGCAACAGAATTTTTAATAGAAAACTACACAAAAACACATTCCAAATTGCTTTTTAATCATTAACCTAAAATTATATTCAAACATTATCAAGGTACACCTCATGCATAAATGAAGTATGCAAGAACAGAACTACAAGTCTTTCACAAAGTAACCTACTTGGCCTTCTTGACTAAAGAAAAATAGAAATACAAAGTCTTACCATCTGGCAAGTTAATTTGCATACATGTCCTTTTTAATCTAGTCTCTCTTCTCTGCTAGTAAAAATTGTGGCTGACTTGGTAAAAGTGAAAGCATACCACATCTCAGTTAATCTCTTCCCAGTCCAACAATGCAGCTAAAATCATCCACAGCACAAAGCCATCCCAGAGGCCCTGTACTGTGAACGGCAAAGAAGCCAATACATGCCCTGTCTCCCACAGTGACAGTAATCTCTAGTTGAAAGACAGGTGAGAAACTGCATGTCAGAAACATCTTCCATGGGCACAGCTCAAAGACAGAACTTCCAAAATTTATTCCAGCTACATCATTTACATTTACACATTAATGTATCTTATACTGCATTTCTTTGTATATTGCACCAATAGTATACCAATTATGTAATAAACACTGAAAGCCACATGACTAAGCATACCAAAAGGAAATTACATATCATGATCTATTAACCACCACTGCCAGCCCAAGACGGTTAAGGAGTTTAGCCAAGGCCAAACAAACTTAACGGAAAGATACAGACAGCCTCAGACCGACTTTGTGTACAGCTACAGGAACAAGACAGTAGGAAGAACTTCAGCAGGTCAGCCTGCAGTCTGTCAGCTGATCTGCAATAAATGCCCCTATTCAGGCTTCATTCTGTGGTAAAAATAAGGAAGTTTACACATTAATCAAATCAATGAAACCACACATACAAACGGACACAGCTAAAATGCTGTAAAACTAATCTAGCTCATTTTGTGGTAGGCATAGCCTTAGTAACAGTGACTTCAGCCTATGAGCTGAAGGTGCTTTAAAAGACAAGTTTTATAAATTCTAAAAGCAGATAAATTTTTAATCATAATTCTCTGTTTTGATTTCCTCTAACCTGATTACATATTGTTTGATGAAAATAATAGGGCATTGGCCATCCCACCCAAAAGTACAGCACAATCCAAAGTGGACTGTGTGCATGTGCTCAAGTCAATCACACTAATGAACAAGTCTGCTAAGTCCCTGTGCTGGCCAGTACCTGGAATCTTCCAGCAAATTACACTTGAATGACACGGCTGGAAAACATTTTTCTCTTCACAAACTTCAATAAAATTAAGTAAAGAAATTAACTCTGGTTCTCTCAGGAGTATAAAGATCTTAGCACCTTCCCTTATTCCAGGTTTTAGATCAAGAAAGAAATTCAGTTCAGTTACAGAACCCTATCAAAATTGCTAATGGTCAACAGAAAAGGACTCAAATGCTGCCTTATGGACTACGGTGGGAGCAGCCTGAAGCAGGTGACAGGAAACAGTACCAGCAGTTTTGACAAAACACCTAAACACTAAGGTCAAACATCCAGACAGTGAGCAAGCTCTGGAATACAGTGGCTCTTCATACTGCAGTCACCAAAGTTCAAGCCCCGCACTCCTCAATTTAGAAAGGACTTTCTATCAGTTACTTAAACAGTTTATTACAGTAGTACAGAAACCAAGCCTTACACAGGCTACCAGCCTATCCAGGATTATAAAACAATGACATTAGAGACAAGAACAATATCCTAGGAAGCCTGACTTTTAAGACTTTTCTAAAGCTGTTAAACAGTGTACTGCATGTAGCATGAAAAACAAACCATCAAAAGTAAAGAAATTCAAATTTATGTGTTCTATTTCACTTTCAATACACAATCATCCAGGAATATTGCAGAGGGCTCAGAACAAATAGAATACATGTAGCAGCATAGTGGCCAGAGTTTATAGCTGAACAGCAGACGTAACTCCTTCTTAATATTGCTTTACCTTAAAATTACTTTATTTTTCTGTATGATTCACACGTCTTTTCCATTTTAAATATAGTTGTATGAGAACAAGTTTTGATTAACAAACAGCATGCTGCCTAAGGCTTCAGAATGGTCTGACTACCTATTTTCTTGAAAGAAAAATGTAACATGTATTTGGCTATGGTTGTGTTTACTCAGAAGACAGTCAACATCCCGAAATATCAATTAACCTTTTGCGAGTGGTGACATGTTGCTGCATGGCATTTGTGTCAAGGCACACTATTTGGTAGCAACGAAGTGGAACATATTTTAGGGCCAATTTTTTAAAAAATTAAAGGACTGTGAAGTTATTTTCACTTCTGATATAAAACTTGTTATAGAAAACAAAATGTCGGGAGAGACTATATGGTGCCAGAACCTGCCATGTATTACCTGAAAAGCATTGGGGCGGGGCGGCGTGCGGCAGGGGGCAGTATGTCTCCATAACTAGCACGAAAATAAAACCATGTTTTTAGTTACTGTAGACTTCTAGCTTCTTTTTGCAATTTCTTATCAGCAGTTTAGAAACATGCAAGCTACCTTGTCACTGCAACAATAAATACTGTTGAAAATATACTACTAGCATTGTTCTCATTGGTATCTTTGGCACTTACTTAACCTCGGGGTTACATTTAGAAAACAAAAAACAGGTGCAAGCTGAAAAAAAATAAAAGGAAAAAGCATAGATACCAATTAAAAGCAATAGTAAGCATGTATGAAAATGCTTAAGATCTGCTCCATGAACCCTACGGCAAATGATTCAGAGCAATGAAGATACGAGGAAGCTTTCCACAACACCTGCAATCCTCAGTTGCCATGTCCATTTTGTCCACTCAGGCTTCTGAAGAGGATAACACAACAGCTGGGACTAACAGACATGGAAGAACCTATGCACTTCCCCCTTCCAGAGCTCAGTACCAGCTGTAGAAAAGATAAGGTGTTAAACCTGCTAAACCAGCTCTGTAGCCCCTACAAACATAGGGCTTCTCAGTGGCCATCCACACCTGTCCCAGGGGCATATCGACACTAGAGAGCTGCCAGTTCCCCTAATATGACAGGGTATGACCCTTCATCTGTAGACCACTAACACTATTACAGGTACATCAATACACCACCTCTGGTCTGTCTGTGATGAAGTCTATGATATCCACAGTCATCTTCCTCTGGTGTAAAACATGGGAGCTTCCAACTCATGCCCACTGTCCTGTCCACCAGACTACTTTCCATACGAAATAGCGGAGTGCAGTATTTTACATGTTAGGACAAAATCATCAGCAATCTAATGTAACTATGGTAAAATGTTTGGTTGAAAGTCACCCTCTGCAAAAAGCCCATGTGCACTAAATGTCAAGTCAGCTTTCACAGCTTATCTGATATGAATTTTAAGCACTATCTTCAACCAAATAAAGCATTTCATATAGCCAAAATTAACATTCACGGAATCCACCATTTCTCTCATTACAGCCCATTACATTTTTACATACTCTTTCTTGTATATTTTCACTAGTTCCTTACCTTCATTTTTGACTGCCCATAAACACTACTACAAATTAAACCAAAACTGAGAGGAAATTCAAGAAATCAGACAAACATGACAAGTTTCTGTATTAGTTGTCAAAAAAATCAAAATATTTCTCCTTTCTCAACTACGTAAAGGTATTTATCTTATATTCTTTAATGAGAAATCAAATAAATGTTCTGAGGCAAAGAAATTTAGGTTAAAAACGTCAAGGAGAAAACAATTATCTTAGCTATACAAGAACTAGTCTATCAGACCCAAAACCAAAGGACTATGACTTTGAGAGTGACAGCAGACTGGATGTCCAGAACACACATGTTGGAGGGCTCCAACCTGAAAGACCAAGAACTGAGCCCAAGTGACTGAGTAACTCATTCTGAAAAAAGTTTTGGTAAGGACCTTAACGTGAGAAAAGAAAAGTAAGTGGGAATACTGTGAAGAAAGGGAAAACTGAAAGTGGAAACAGAATTTCAGAAAATATGGAAGTACCTGAAGTGTCTTCTTAATGCCTCCAACTCTAGCCGTCCAAAACCTCTGGAACAGTGTCCAGTATGTTTAAGGGAAGAGAAAGAAAAAGAGGTTTAAATGCTCATTCAGCACTAAAGCAGGGAAAAGGGATATTTTTTTATTTTTGACTTAAGTGATATACTGAGATCACATCTCCTGTCTGTCTCTACATCCATGAAGACTGGAAGCTTGTTTTAATTTTAAATGGAAAACCAGAATTTTCATATAAATTACCCAATTCTAGACGCTGAAGCTTTCAGGTCATCTAACAATACAACAAATCATTACAGGAACTACAGAAAATCAGTATTACTGCCCTCAGAACTCACAGATGTGGCACAAACAGCTTACTTCTCACCACAGTACAAGTAGGGTACCATAGTACCATGCAAACCACCTTCTTGTCCATCAGTAAGCCATGATTTGGCATCTATTTG